TAGTAAGGCCATCGGTAAAACAGTCCATGTGACATCAGTGGCTCAACGTCAGTTTTGCGAAGCAGCGGGAATACTTTTTGTGCGCAAAGAAAACAAAAATAGCATAATTTATTCAACAATTCTTCTTCCCCCGAGTTACGTCTTCCGCCATTTTAAGAGTATCGCAACACATACGCACGCTTTCCCCTAAGCATAAACAACACTGATTACACAGATTACGTTCATGCGCGCGCTTTCTCCCCCGAACGTAAACAACGCGGATTACGTCGATTACGCTCTTTGGTACTCTCCAAAATGGCGGAATATGTAACTCGGGGGAGAAGAATTGTTAAATACATTTTTATTTTTGTTTTCTTTGCGCTCAAAAAGTATTCTCGCTGCTTCGCAAAACTGAAGTTGAGCCACTGATGTCACATGGACTGTTTTACCGATGGCCTTACTACGTTTCTGGACCTGGGAACATTACAGTTGTGTTGCTGTCTATGCAGGGTCTGAGAGCTCACACATTTCCTCCAAAAATATCTTAATTTGTGTTCCGAAGATGAACGAAGGTCTTACAGGTTTGGAACGACATGAGGGTGAGAAATTAATGACAGAATTTTCATTTTGGGGTGAACTAACCCTTTAAGTGTCGACACATTTACATTTCTTTAAATAAAGGCATTTGGTTGCGATTTTGTATTTGTTGTTCTGCAGTGAATGATTGGACTTCCTTCTGGATTTGTTTAAATCCATTTTGTGAACGACTCATATGTGCACAATTATTCTGCATGTTATTAACTAGCACTCATTTCACACTAAATAAAGCAGGCTAAATGGTTCAGACATCTGATCAATGTCGTTTGGCAAATAACACCGTTATTGTCATGGCTACAGTACCTTGAAAATTAAGAAACAAAATATTCTTTTGAGGTGGAAGTATTTACTGGTAGAAGTTGGTACAAATAAACCTTATTTACAGAGGTTAAGGCAAAAGGTGGAATGACATGCATGCTTTTCCCAAAAACATTACTGTACATGCTCTTAAAGTTCACAGAATTACAAAGGGGAAAAATCCCAAACACTGAAAAGACATGGAAAAATAATTCCTATTTATAAAAATTAAAGTACAAAAATGTTTAGTACAAGCCTTTTCTCCTTATACAAAGTAGACAAAATAGCCACATAACATTCAGCAGTTAAAGATTTGTATCCCATTTTAAAGTGATTTATCAAACACAGTGATCTGATCAGCTGATATTTTCTCCAAATACTGAAATATAAATACCATGCATAATACTATTTGCCAGTTGCCAAAAAGACAGTCCCAAATACATAAAGTGCAAAACACTGTCATTTCAAAATCAAATCTGCATTTCAACCTCTAGTGTGTGCGTGAAGTAGGGCTAGTTTCACTACTCTTTCTGTGAAGTGGTGGGGAATGTTGACAGTACAGTAATGATGCACAGCCTGCCCACTGTAGCAGAGATGTTGATACTGCACTTGAATATAATCAATAAACCTCAAATCAGTGTTTTAAATCTTTGAGGACTACCCTAAGAACAGAATTTCTTAAAAGATACAGCAGTGAATTTATAGGATGTGACTACTTACTAAACTATGCATGAATTAAAAAAAGCGCAACATTAAAGGTTTGTAAAATACCATGTAAAGCTACCATCAAAGACCACAATCTAAGTGCCATCCTGTTCAAATGTCTCTAAAATTACATTTTCTAATCCACACCTTCATTTTGTTTCCATTTGTTTTATTCAAATTATTATAGGTTTATGGTGTAAAAAAAATCTAGGAAGTTGTATGAGTATTATTAGGATAGCATTTTAACCCATGATGCAGCAATTTAAAGCTTCTGGCCAGATTTTTGTCCCTAATATTTGCTACAGTATAATAATGTGCATTAAGTTTTAAGAGCAGATAATATGTTTTTGTTGGCAATTACAGTACAGAGATAATCCATAGTAAATGTGTTGTATTTGTACTGAATGCATGTAAATTATTGTCATGAATAAATAACTACAGCCAACATTTCTCTCAGAAATTCCATATGGAAGTGTTATAACTGCTTTCATATAAGAACCTAGAAGATAATAAAGCTGTTTTCCCCCTGTTAGTTCACATTAATAAAATAAATTGTGCTTTAGGTTTAAGTAAAATAAACACCAAATCAAACATATTAAAATAAGCACATCAAATATAAACGTTCTGTACATTTTACACGTTCACACGCCAATATCACATAACAAATCCTTCTACAAAAACAAAACTCTTGTTTTGAAAATGCATTTAGAAACTATAAAAGGATTATGTTTGTAAATCTGTTTGATATATGACAATAATTTTGGCAACTGTCAAATAATCTCCAGTGAGATATCAGCTTCAGATGTTTTGGTCTGTTTCATGGCTGAATCTGTGAGGAGCTGAAGCTTTGGACATCAGACAAATACGCACAAGTTAAAAAAAAAAAGTTCCTTTAACACACAAACTTACATACAAAAAGTGCCAACATGTGCTCTCGTTCTCTCACTCTCACTAAACAAATACTCTCCTCAAGATATCAATCACACATAAACAAATGAAAACCAATGTCAGGTATGTTGTTTTCTACTGTCCACACACTCAAACATACTCTTTTAGTGAAATCATACCTGACCGACAGGTAAGCAGAGCAGAGACTAAGAAACTATAGCGAGGCCACACCTCCCCTGAGACAAAACATCAACGTCTCCCAAAAACAAGTTCAAAAGTGGTTACAAAAACATAGTCGAAGGACTCTGGGAGGACGAGTGTTTTAAATCTAGATCACTAAAGGCCCAACACAAATATCATATCGGTAGCTGAATATAGAAAAACCATCAGGAATTGTGCACAGTTCTGTATATCGCTCAACTAACTGTTTAATAAATAAATGTATTTTAAATAAAGCGATTTCTTATCTCAAGCTAGTTTAGAGCTAATTTGGCTTATACGACTATGGCCTGGCCAACAGTGATCAGATAACAGTACTAAATAAGAAAGTAAAGAAAGTGAGGAAAACATGAGCATATACCTGCAAGCTGAGGATCACCTGTTCTATTAGAAATAAATGGACATGGTCCAGGGAATTTCTCAAAGATCGTCTGGCGGTATTAGTGTGTGTGTGTGTCAGTGAGACCTGCATGTGTTTGTGCGACTCATGTGATGAGTGTCTCACTGGCCGAAGTCTCATCCAGCAAAGCTTGGACAGCGATGCCAACTTTAATCAGGCCCTTCTCCTCCAGAATATGATGTGGCAGACATAACTTATCCTGGAAAAAGAGATTCACAAAGAGGACAAACAAAGTGTCATGTCAGAGAAGAAAGAGACACAGTCATGGAAAACAGAATTTATTATACACAATTCATTAAAACTGAATGTTCTTGTTACTGAATTCAGTGAAACTAATAGAGACTCACCTTGTTTAGCAGTGATGCCAAATGCGATATCAGTCACGCAAAAATCAAAAAATAAATAAAAAATGCTGACCCCCATACATTTGAACTGTGGTCTACTGTCTTAAAAATGAACTAAAAAGTACAAAAAATGTCTTCAAGAAACACAAAGATGAGAAAAACAACCCAAACTGTACATTTATTCCTTTTCATTTACAGAGTCATAAAATCCACAAAGCCTTACAAAGTCCACTAGCAGCAGCACTGAACACTATTCAAGAAGTCTAGAGCTGAACAAACACTTTTTTTGCATCTTGCAGCTTTTTTTTACAAATAACTGGGAAATAATACCGAACAAAAAGTCCTGAACAGTCAATACTGCATTTATTTTTGTCAAACTGGATGATGAAAGCAATGCCAATTATAACTGCTGTGATCACGCCGATGCGGTTCAAAGTATTCTGTAGTTTGAGGAAGTGATGTCAAGAGGCCTCAGTGACATCGCTGTCTGCTGATTTACTAACGGCTCCCTTTAAAGATTTCTTTTATCTGTGATGAGATAAACGAGGTCAATCTATTATGTGAGATAAAGATCGGAACCTAGAATAGAATCAGAGGATCCAATCAGAAGAGACCCGTTCTCCACCTCAGACCTTCACAGCAGTAAATTACATGCAACCACTACACGGATAACTCAATTATTAAAATTGCGTTAATCTGATATTTCATACTAGTTCAAACCCACCTCAGCCTCTATTACAGATCACTGATAGAACACATGAATTAGATTTTATTCTCCGACGCTTTTATTCCTCATTGTTCGATTTGGGTTAGTCACATCGCTGTGGACTGTGGCTTATTAAATTAATTAAAAAATAGATTTGGTTCACTCTGTCATTCTGTTTTACTAATGAACAGGAAATTAAACCAACAATTCATTAGTCCTATTTCATCCTATAGATGGCGTTTTGGGTAAAATAACGATGCAATCATTAACAATGACTGTGCAGGATATTTAATAATTCCCAATCTAAAAAACAACACATCATGCTCTTAAAAACACTCTTAACCAAAACTGCTTTTTTACATCCAACAGATAAATTAGCCCTTATGCTAATGATTAAATGTTTTTTAATCACAGATTTAACCTCACCGTACAAGACTTCTGTGCAAAGCAGGGCTATCATTTTGCTTTAATGGCATCTGGGCCTTCACTAACTCGAGTGTCCTGATTTATTATCTGCAAATTGTTTCTGTGAAGCAGACCAAATGTGCGCTTGATTCCTGTAGATATATTGCTGATCACTGGCATGAGGCAAGACCTCCATATCCGTTTGTATTATTTTTGTTTTGTCATGCAGATGCTAATAAATATACCAATTCTATTGTTTATGTATGCAATATCCAACAAAATTCAGCATTATGACTGCCGAGATTGAACTTTCTGAAACAAGTTTTGTAAAGAGGTGGAAGTGAGTGAGAATGTGGCCATTCTTCATTCCTTATTAAAGTGCTCAGTGCACCTCCTGCGTAAATGTTTGTAAAAAGTCTGTTTAAAGAAGGCTTCCTTAGCATTTTGCAAGGACTAATAAATATGTTATTACCAACTATTAAATAACACTTACTCAAACATGAAAACATTTGAATCTCTTCCTGGAGCACGTTACGCATGTAAGTCAAGATGTAAGGGTTGGTCAAACATATGAAACTATCCATCAAACATACAACTAAATGTGCTCCGACTGACGGACACATATTTTTCCTCCAGCCAGTGCTCATTTTAAGGGATAGTTCACGCAAAAATGAAAATTAAGTCATCATTTACTTAAGAGTTGGAACTGGTCTCTATTGACTTCCACAGTACGGAAAACAATACTATGGAAACTATGAAACTATTTCCATACTATGGAAATCAGTGGAGACCACAACTGTTAGCCACATTCCTCAAAATATCTTCTTTTATGTTCCACAAAAGACAAAAGAAAGAAACTCATACAGCTTTGGAACAACTTGAGGGTGAGTACATGATGACAGAATTTCCATTTTTGGGTGAACTATTCGTTTAAGTGAGGCCAACTGTTCAATGTGCTTTCAAGGACCAGTAAATGATATAATGTGTTACTTGTGTGTTTTTAGTTCATGTATGTTATTTAAATTCGCTCCAGCTGTAGGCCACAAACAGCATCACCAGACAGAAAACGTGCAGCAGACTTGAGCCAATCAGATCCCATATTTGCCAGGAAGGGGGTGGAGTCTGAGTGGACTCTGGGATAAGATTCTTGACCTCTGTCTCTTTCTCCCTGCCACTCTCCACCTTTCCTTCCTTCTGCCTTGTTCCTGTGCTCTCCACCATGAGCAAGGCTGCGACCACGGCCCAGAGCGGACGCAGGTTAAACTGCAGAACGTCATAAGCCGAACAGAGAGAGGACTGAGAGAGATTCAAAACATGGAGAGGATGACAAAGAGAACCAGGAAGAGGAAGAGTGCACAGGTGACATGGTGCTTAGCGGATGTGCAGTAGTGAGCGTATGCCAGGCACAAGTCAAGCTACAGCCGTTAACAATGATACAAAGCAAGAGAGCTGCAAAACCAGCAAAGAGCAGAGCAGGTCAAGCTAGACTGTTGCATAACTCACCAACTAGACTAAGTTGATAAACAAGGCAATGATATAAACCAGAAGTTACCGAACAAACAAGGCCTGCCACATTAGCCCTAAACACGCTAACAGAATAAACTAGCTTGATAAAGATCAGCTATCAGGATAGAAAACACAAGACAAATGGTGACAAAACTAGCTGCCATGCAGACTCGTAGTAGCTGCTGCTACTACAGACACAAGCTATGACAACTAAAAGCTTCCTGTACGACACGCTAATCAGAACAGCCTGTTATAAATGGCTTGGACCAAGCTCAACCCATAAAGCAGAAGACAACATCTGGGTTCCTTCTAGAAAGGCTATTGATCCCTGTTGAAAAACCAGCATTTGCTGGTTAGGTATGTTTTGAAATGTGGCTGCTGATTTGAGCTGGTTTAAGCTGGTTCTTAGCTGGTCATGTGCTGGTCCTAAGCAACTAGTTCCTGCTCAGGACCACCTAAGGACCAGCTTAAACCAGCTCATGACCAGCACATGACCAGCTTAAACCAGCTTATGGCCAGCTAAGGACCAGCTAAGGACCAGCTTAAACCAGCTCATGACCAGCACATGACCAGCTTAAACCAGCTCATGGCCAGCTAAGGACCAGCTTAAACCAGCTCATGACCAGCTCATGACCAGCTTAAACCAGCTCAAACCAGCAGCCATGCTTCAAATCATACCTACCCAGCAAACAGAGATGCAAAAAAAGGTGAGAACATTGTGCGGATCGGGGGCATGCTGCCCACAGAATTTCTTTTAAAGATATTTGCTCATTTGTAGTTACTTTAAGGTATTTTAAAATATTTTTATTACATTATATGTCCAAAACAATAAAAAATAATTGTTGCAACATTTGACAAAAATCAAGATTGAATATATTTGGTCAAAATCCCATGTTATAAAAAATGTTTGCCCTCTCTCTTCACCGTTCCCACATCTCAGACCCTAATACATAAAATAGACAGTTTTTGAGTTTTGAAGTAAAAAGTATTATACAAACTGAATTAAAAAAGTTATGAAGAAAAACAATTAGATGACTAACTTTTTAAGACTCGTCTAACCAGTTTATGCAATTGACCAACAATCCTCACTTGATTCCTTGCACACAAAAAGAGATGCATCATATCGACAAACATTTCGTCCATGTTTCAAGGGAACGTGGACATTGTGCTCATTGTGGCTAGTTAAGACATACAAAGATTTTCATGGACGTGATAGCTGTAATTGCTTCTAGCTTTATCTGGATAGGACAATATATTACGCAAGTGGTCACACTGAATTGATGAAATAATGGTTTCATGAACAATTTACACAGAAATTATTTCCACTCATATGTTATGTCCGTTGTCTGTTTATCAGTACACTGCAATTCTCTGTCACAGCTCAAGGAAACATGATCATTTATCAGAGAGCAGGTCAGAACCATTAACAGGATGGAATGGTGCCCTAGAAATGGATGATGAAGCCTAAAGCCATGATGATAACATCTTAATACAACGCCATGATGCAGCTCTAGTAGGGTTATATGAAGAAAGTGGCTTTAAATGCTGTTCTATGATCAGTTTTCCCAACATCTATTGACCAGAGAAGGTCCAGAAGTTTCTTGAAGCTGATAAACAAGGCAGAAATGTCTCCAAAATGTTTTCAAGGGCGTGACTGATCAGAGAGCAGTGTGAGGCAATCTCAGCTGCTTCAACCAATCAGATTAGGGGTGGCTAATGAACAAAATCAGTCAGGTAATAACATGTATTTTACCAGAATTTGTTTTCAAGGAACCCTGTGTGTACAGGTTTATTGTCAGAAAAACTAATTGAAACTAACCGGGCAGGTTTTCCAGACTGGGATTCAGATTCTAAATTAAACAGGATTAGCAGTGTCGGGGGTATGGACGGGCCCCCAACTGCACTGGCATATCAATTGCCTAGAGTTGTTAGCAGCGCACCTTGCTTTGAACCATCTCAAAGTGCGCTTACGGGGCAAGCACGTGCTGGTCCGAACGGACAACATGGCAAGCGTTGCGTACATCAACCAACAATTACCCCCATTAGCAGTATACTTCACTGAGACTGAGAATCAGCTTTACAGGGAGTCTTTCACCGGATAAGAACAAGTAGAAATTGCTTTAAATGCAAAACAGCTCAATTGGCGCACTAATACCGCAAAGTATTATTCTATGTAGAAAATATGGGGAAAGACCGAAACTGTCAGACAATGTTTGTCAAGGTCACATTATTATAATATATTTAAAATAAATATTTACCCGGACAACAACAGTATGATAAATTGTTCTTATTGACCACCAATACCAGTAAATACAGTTTTTAGTTTAGGACTGCACATAAGAGACTAGTAAAGCAAAACCTGTACAAACAGTGGCCCTTGAGAAACAGATCTAGTTCGTTTGGCATTAAAAAAAAAAATGAAATATTCACCTCAGGGACTCCCATTTTCCTGCAGGTGTCCAAAAAGTTTTCAACATTTCTGCGACATTTAGCCATGCTAAGCTTGGGCTGAAGGTTTAACGTATCCATATACAGATGTCAAAAAAGAGAGAAAGAGAGAGAGAAAAAAACAGGTTAACAAACTTCAGGCTAACAAACACATGCACTATCATTCAAAGGTTTTTTTTTTTAAGGAAATTATAATTGTTTTTTAATTCATCAAGGATTCATTAAACTGATCAAAAGTTTTTTGCCATTACATGAATAAAATACAACTGAAGGGGCTCATGAACTGAGAAACCAAAATTTCACATATCGTTTGATTGATATGTACTGAGTATTTATGCATTTTTAACCCAAATGGCAGCATCAATCTGTGAAGGACGTAGACTGTCAAACACACAACTGTTAGCCAATCATAGCAGTGGGTGTTTACTTCTGAGTCTACAATCCGCCACGCCTATTCAAACATAGCATTCTGATGAGGGGGTCAAAAACAGGACAGATAATAGCTTATTACTTCTAAATTATGTTTTTTTATGTAAAAATCTTGATAACATTATAAGTGGACCTCAGAGAACAGTACAAAATAAAAAAATAGAGGCAGTCAATGACCCCTTTAAAACATGTTCAAATAGAAAAGTTTTTAAAAATGATACAATTTACAATTATTTTAAATAATAGTATTTCACAATTTAAAGGCCCGTTCACACCAAGGATGATAACTATAAAGATAACAATAAAGATATAGTTCTAAAAATCGTTCTCAATATTACCACACCATAACTATAACGATAAAGACAAAGAGAAACCATATCGTTGGAATCACTTTCAAAACGATTTTTCTCCAGCTGATGAACGATAAAAAAAAAAATTTGACAGCCAATCAGAATCCATCCTGCTGTAACGAGCTCGAGAATTTAAAGCGGCAGACGTGCGTGCGCTTAGAATAAACAGACGATATCGTTCTTGGTGTGAACGGGGCTTTACTGTTAAAGTAAACAGTAAACACAAACACTTAAAAAATATATTTAGAAATATAACTGAACTCTGTAGTTTATAGTGTTTGTGTAAATGTGTGGATAATTCAGAGATGACTCACCACTGCAGGGGATGGTACATGGATACTGGCCACTGAACGCGGCCGAATGTGATTGACTAGGTGACAAAGCACGACCCCATCCATGAGAGAAGAGCCCAGATCTTCAGGAAGAACTACTTTCAGTCTGCTCTCAATACTCTGGAAAAATCAACATGATTGGGATATAAGTAAAACATTTTCATACAAATATTTTAGTCAAAAAAGAGAAAAAAAGTAGCTAAACTATTTTGGATATTTGTGCCACCATTAAAACATTTGACAAAAAAGATCCAAAACCCCCTTTTCACTTTGAACAGTATATCGATTGCTTTACAAATCTCTTTTTGTTTGAAAAGTGTTATATAGTTCATTTACATACTTGGCTTCTGTGTGAGTATGTTTGCATACCTCTCGTAGTTGCTCTATGAGCTCCAGCTCCTCTCTGAGCTGCTCCATCTTTCTCCTCATGGTGAACTGAGGATCCACTGATTCCAGAGTCTTGTGCGTCCTGAAAAACACTGTCACACAACTGAAGCGTCACCAGTCTGCACACAGCACATAATATATCCTGTCTTACTCACACATGCATAAAGACTCACTCTCATTTAATCACTTTCTTTTAACATCACATCCATCATGATATCCAAAAACTCTAAACTTTAGGTTAGTGTCAATTTTGATATGAAGAGGATTAAACAGTAATCAAATGTTATTACTGTTGCCATTGTTACTTTTAAACGACACGCTGCCTTTATTGTCTATTTACATCACAATGAATATCCTGAATTCTTAAGGGAATGAGACGCTGTCCTTATGTGACAGCTGATAGTCTTTATTATATGATATTTCTCCACAAGGGGGAGTTCTAGACATGAGAGAAAGGGGGAGATTGAGAAAGACAAGAACACAATGCTTCATTCCACACATCTGAGTGTTTCTGTAGTTGCATAACCTCTCATCCTGAGAAGAAATGAAAGAAAGAGGACAGTATGTGGGGAACATTAAAGGGGTCATATGATGCGATTTCAAGTTTTCCTTTCTCTTTGGAGTGTTACAAGCTGATTGTGCATAGATAAGATCCCTGAAGTTACAAAGACTAAAGTCTCAAAACCAAAGAGATATTCTTTATCAAAGTTAAGACTCTGCCACACCCCCCTAAAACGGCTCGTTCTAACACGCCCCCACATATCTACCTCACTATGTGGTAATATTTGCATAATGCGCCCAAATGTTCACGCAAAGAAAGAAGGCATGGTTTCAGTAACCGCAGTTAGTGTTGAAGCAGCCATGTCAGGGAGACGCTGTGTTTCAGTGCAAAAGCAAAAGCACTTTATTTGGCCTTCCGGAAGTAGATGCATTTAGGAATCTTTAAGATTACTTACAACAGAACAGCAATGCATTTTATGTACGACCGTTTTGTGAACCTAAGAGAGGAGGTAATTCTGACTTTGCTATGACAATCTGGCGCTTCTGAATCAGCTACGGTTTTGTTATTAGTTTTAATATTTGCTTATTGACTGTTCAAATGCAGAGTTTTGCGCATCGTGTGTGTGTGTGTGTGTGTGTGTGTG